ATAAGATAAGGTTCAAAGAAAATAAGAAAAGTATATAGCTTATCAAAAGGAATCAGTTGCTCATCAAACCAAAGTAAATTTTGCAAGGAATTTTCAAGGGAAAAAAATACCAGTCTCTAACGAACCAAAACGTCACTTCATTAATTGGCCTCATACTGTTTACCGCTTAAGTAATAAGGTACGCACCCCTGTTTTCAAAGCGTCGGGAGCATCATTTTTTATTCCCTTCAATTACAAAGTATAAACTCTAATTGTGAGCATCAACTATCACTTAATTTTTTTCCAATGATCTGGTGCTAGATGCCTCGATCATTGCAGTTTCCATTTTTTTTAATAGTTAATTGTCGCATCCGCTACACTTATTGATGCTACTTTTGTAAGGCTAATTTATCTTGAAACACTCAGTTGGCACCAAACACTATAAGAAAAATTTTTTTGCAGAAACAAACCTACACCAAGTCGCTGGACTGAATATCATGACCCAGAACTTGAGGACGATCTCTCTGATAGTGACTGATTTCTAGATTCTTTAGTCATTTTTTCAACCAGTGTACCTTTGTATGTGGAACTTTGCATGGTGCGCTGCCTTCAGCGTTGAAAAATATTTCCAAAACCTGTTTTGTAAACTGTATAACTTACTCTTCAAAATTCTGAAGTGGACAGTTGCGCGGTACTACATCTAGAAAGTCTTATTGACGACAATCTTTGGAAAAGAATTTTAATATAGTTAATTAGTTAATTAGGCGAAACTTGAAGAGAGCTTGCTTCTGTGGTTTGAGCGTGTAAGAAAAGCTGTTGGGAATTAAATTTCATAAATGCATCATTTGCAAAACTTACATGGTTTTGTTTCATAATTTCCTTGCTGATGTTGTCGACTTTACTTTTAACTTTGTGAAAGTTACGTTAGCCTTAAAATTTTCTATGAAATAGACAATCACTGTAACGTTCTTAACTTTCCTTATTTCGCTGCTTTCTGTTGTGATTAATTTGTTTTCCCGTAGGCGGAACAGCTATTTTTTTAGGCAATGAACTGTCGATTATATCTGGTGCAGTTATTCCTCATTTCCCACATGACTGACCGGGGAACTTTTCATTTTATGGTGCCAGTATAATGTTCTGTTCCACTGTCTAGCGTTTTCATTACGATTTAAGGTTCACTTTACCTCAGTACGAAAATTTGTATAAGTGGTAAAAATTAAAGTTAAAGCTGCTGAGCTCTCCTAGAGCTCTAGCAGTTCACTTTTTACTTTGTACCATTTTCTTTTAGTTTTATTTCTTTCCAGAATGGTTTTTTCAAGTGACTCATTTCCAAATTCAAATCTATCTTGTTTCTTTAAAGTTTCAAAACAGTTTGTGTGAACGGCTATTTAGGAATTATATTTCTAAACTGCATTGTAACACATGGTAGATGCCTGATTCTACCAAACTTATTTCGCCCTCCAGCCAAAATTTTTTACTTCGTAAAACTAATAATATTTATTATGAGAAGCTTGAATGTTGGTGTCTCCTACTTTATACATAAAGTTTTCTGTTTAGTTTTTTTCACCAATTACAATAAACGTCAATTTCAGAAAAAAAAGATCGTTTGTTAGTATTTCCTTCTATTGTACATCTGACCAGTTCTCCAAAAATTCGCGGTAAAGGCAGGATTTACCAATTAATTATTACTTCTTTTCCAAACGAATGGAACTTAATTACCTTTCAGCGTGAAAAAAAACGCAGGAAGCATTGTAACGGGTCAATAGTGCTGGGTACTTTATGCAGGGCTGTAAAACGCTATGAATGTGCTGCTGAGGACACAAATTCATGAACAGTTGGTGTTTAAACATTACCAATGTCATGTCTGTACTTAGAATAGAAAAATTTGACTACTCTGCAACTGGCTTACTAATATACGGCGTTTTCCAACTATAATCATTTCGTAATAGGCCATATAAAGACTTCGGATTCTGAACAGTATAGCATTTGGACGTCAGTCAATAAAATGTTCTGATACGTTTAAAACGAACATCAATGTTTAATACGCGCGAGAATGCTTGACAGGTGTTCGTCAATTCATAAAAAATACAAATGTGATACGAAGACAAGGTAAAAATTCTGCGCAAGGAAAAGTATTTTCCAGTATACATTGAAAAACTGAACGAACTGCGTGCGACGCTTTTTAATATCATTTGAAGAAATTATATATTTGCCCCAAGATTGTGCCGTTCGGACAATAAGTGGATTGTTATTTAAGGGTTTCCAGAAATGCCCTAATAACCAGGTTCGCCAGACTTTCAATGTAATTGAAGGAGTGGTTAATTAAGGTAAAAAGCGTGCTCCAAAAGTACTCCTTGTTTTTGCATTCCAATTTTCAGCATTGATTTCTTTGGAAATCTGATTTTTTGTTGAGAGAAAGAAAACTTTGAATACTTAGCGGTTTCCTAAGTTAATTTCGTTAAGTAACTCAAATGGTTGGCATATTAAAAATTACTCCTAAAAATCGACTCCAGATTATCTGTCAAAGGCTTAGAATGTGTTGTGGATTCGTATCCAGGAACTGAAGCATTATTCCTTCGTAGTCGTAAAATATTGCGTACGGGTTTCATCACCAGCATTTGCCGCTGCAGAACGTCTTATCGATGAAGGTTTCCAGGAACTACCAAGTGTACATGTCTTACTAGATTAGAAGTACTACGGAGGCAAGAATTCTTAAAGGGCTGGCTAAGGTTTCTTATTTTTGGCTAATCTCTATTTAAGGTTGCCTGAACAACGTGAGTAACTGCCCTCAAAGCATAATACCCAAAAATTTAATATTGACTTTGAACATTTATTCTTTAAATAAAAAAAAGGAAAAAAAAAGAAGAGTACGCGTTATGACAACTGCATATGACCAATCACCTCTCACAGAACCTTACTGAAAAACGAGCAAGCCATCGTCGTGTATAAAAGTTGTCCATAAAGTTTTTGAGGATTTTCTTGAAAACAGCCAAGGCTTCATATAAGAAATGGCGAGAAGAAGCGAAATTATGATTACCAGCAAGTACTTCTAATAAAAGTTTAGCTGTATTGGTATACCTAGCACCACCTGTCTGTTCGTGAGCACCATTAAGTCACAAGGTCGTAGTTAAGGAAACCATTGCGTAAAGAGGCAGATTGAATACAGCTTATTGCTCCTGCTCCATCACCACTTCTCGCACATGAGTTTGTTACTCCTGCGCCCAGAAAAAAGTACATCCCACTTAAAAAATATCAGATATTTCGCTCCAGACTTCTCTAAGGACGATTTCTTCCCTACCATATAGAAAAAAACTCAGCTTTTTGACTCAGATTACTCATTTGCAATCACCAAATTGCAATTTGTATACTTTCTTATACATTTCACGATAATCATCGCGTACTTAAGTAGTTTTGAATACGCAGACAGAACCAGCTCACCTTCTTCTGAATGCATAATGAGGCAAATTTATACGGAAAATTCTTTTTGAAACTGAACCACAAAACTCAGATTCCTTTATTTATTGCAGTTACAACAAGCTATATATATACTCCGCGAAATCCTTTGTACCGAGCGGTTGTAACACGACAGCAGACGACTTCGACTCATATTTGAACAAGCAACATGTTCCTTCAATCTTTTGCCAAAGAACTTAGCAACCGACAAATTCTACAACTTAAATTTTCTGTCTCTTGCCGCTCTCCCAATACTAGCGAAGATTATGATACCGGTGTGTAATATATAGAAAATGCTTAGTACACTTTTAACAAAAGCGTAATAATGTTTTACCTGCGTGACAATTGCTACATTGAATTTGTAAGGTTTCTGCTAATATTTGCATGTTTAGTGCTGATTTATCTCGCAGCAAACCTCTTACAAAAAACGGGAATAGTAAATTTTTGAAAAAATAACCGTTTCTTAACATATCAGGTTCAGGTGTTGAAGATGAGTAATCATTAGAAACTTTCTGTTGTTTTACCAATATTAGCAGAACGACAGCAGGCAGAATACTCAAGTTGTCAAATTTGTACCTTGCTG